TTTTTGTAGAGATAGAGTTTCTCCATAGTCTATGATAGGAAGTTGTTTTCTAGTCTAGCCATAAAGCAGTCATCCAAGACTGGTCCTAGAGGAGAACGCATTGCTACTCCATCTATGTGCCTGTACATTTCATTGTTGAAACTAAAGTAAACGTTAAAGGTGCATCTTAGTAACAGCTCTTTTATACAGTGGGTTAGTATACCAATATTGGTGGTGCTAGACTAAATGAAGTCACCAAGGCAGCATATGGTTTCTGTTAGTGGGACGTTGGCAAAGAGAGAGACGATATCCAGGGAGATCAAAATTTTAAAAATTAAAACTTTGAGTTCCGAGTAGAACAAGGCTTCCAGATTTCTATTCTCACTGGCATAAACGCTGCTTCTGCAAAGTGGGATTACTAGCCTGACCCCTAACCTTTCGTTCTTTCCGAGCCTACTGTTGGTCAGTAAGACAGATGAATTTAAGGATTGTGACCGTTGGGAATCGAATCGGACCTTCAGGCGTGACTAGCGAGCTTTCTACTAATGAATCGCTGACACACTGTTAAGTCTTCAAGTATAACGTAGTCTGATTCTCAAAAGACATTCTGAGAAATCTTCATTGATCTGTTTGCCATACTGATACTGAATGTTAGAATACAGGCAGCAAGAGACTTGGAACGTCTTAGATTACATTCGAAAGGAAGCCTAGCTGAGAAAGAATGAACTTAACTACAAAATGGAAAGGATAGACTTTGTGATGTTATCACACATTTATAATATTACAGACTACTTCTTAATTTGCTATTTTACCTCATGATTGTTAAATCAAAGAGGTGGATAAATGTTTCTACAATACTGCGATCATCAAAATAACAAAGTTAATTTATGTGAGTGAAACTGATGATTTCAACTATGTACTGCTTATCTTGGTTTATCCCTTCACTGTATTCTTTTATGCCTAACATTAAGAGTGTAACTCTCCCAGATCTTCTTAAAGAGAAGTTTTTTTCAGCGAAATATTTAGTTACCTTTATGACTTTTGATAAAACAATAAAAAGAATTTAGTTTGTTTGAACTGTGTAGTGTGTCTTTTCACAAGACACTTGGAACAATCTGATCACACATGTGTACCTCTCATAGATATTCATTTGAAAATAATTAAGAGTTATGTGTTGAGTGAATATATACAGGCCAGTTTAAAAGGGGTTCAGTTTTAATTCCCTTGGGTTCTTAGTGGAAAATAGAGACTCAACAGATCAAATCCCCATTTCATCCTGTTCTCTGCAGTCCTCTTCAGCCGGCTCTACGAGTGACCATAGTCTCTTATCTTCCCTCACATCGTTTCCCCACGTCACTTCCGAGATCCTACCCAGCTTTCCCCTGGCATGTGATCTCAGTCAGTGGTCTCCTCGGTGTATGTTCGATCCATCTTTACTTTCTTCGGAACATTCCTGGATCAATGGGTTCCTGACTGGTGTGTTCCCAGAGTTTATTGTTGCTAATTTTTTTCACTTCTGCCATCAGATCTTCAGTATCTAGCCAGTGAAGGCCAGTGTTGATGAAATTCTGTATCAGCGTGTTGGAAATAATTTCTTGTCGCTCTTTCCGACATTCTGACTGACTTAACATTGGTAGTGAAAATCCTGATTTTGTTCCCGGTGTGAGCGTGAAAGATTTCCAGTGATAAAGTTCTGCTTTACATTTCTGATTCTGGCTAGCTTTGACATCCTTATCTGTATCACCTGCATGTAGTTGAAACGATGCTTCCTGTGTAAGTGAAGGAAGTGAACTGCTCCAAATTTCTCCCTTTGACAGTGATTGATACTCGTTGTTGGTTGGTTGTCTTCATGATATCTGTCTTCTCTATCTATGTTCAAGTGAAACTGTGTCTTTATTGCTTCTCCTACGAACTTGTTGTTTTTTGCCTGCAGATCTTCAAATTCACGTGACATCAGACAAACCAACTACGAATTCCAGATTTCTAGACTTCTCTTACCGGTGGAGTATATTCCTATCTTCTGGGAACCCATTGTCTTCTCATAATTCAGGCCACCACAGTCAGGAATATCATCATGGGTGGTAGGAGGCAGCCCTACCTAGCTCTTGCTCTTTACTTTAACGTCTTCGTTGAGTTTTCCGTTGTGGAACACCTGACACGTGTCACTGTAATATAGCTGTTGAATGAGGTTGATGAAAATTTAGCACACTCCGTAATGTTGAAGTATTTTTCAAATTACTTCATGGTCAACAATGTTCAAGACCTTTTCAAAGTTGATAAAGCTGAGGTAGAAATTTGACTACCATTCTATGCTTTATTCAAGGATAGTGCACAGCGTTGTCATTTGATATTCATATGATTCACTTTTCCTAAATCCACCTAGTTCCGGTGGGTGGAGTATTGCATCCACTGCATTTTATAATCTCTCCAGGATGAAGAGACTTAATATTTTGCTTGGAGTGGACAAGAGAATAATTCCGCACCTGTTGTGGTAGAAGCCTAAGTCACACTGATTTGGTAGTTTGACGGGGTGCATTTCCTTCCTTCCAAAACTTTTTCAATAATCGCATCAGCTGTCTGTCTGGCTTTAACATAGAACTTTGCACCGACGTGCAGTAGTTCAAGTCGCCACACTTCACTCAGCACACAAAAACAGAGAAGAAAGTAAAAAGGAACGCGAAATAGAGACAGTAAACAGGGATATGAGGCAAAAAGAATAGAAATAACGAAGAACAATATAGTTTCATTGGAAATTATAAGTCACAAGGAATGGATGCATCTGCGCTGGACATTGTGAACGATTTTGAGCCATATCACCGATTGTCTCCAGCCATTGATGTCCATCGTCTCGACGACCCCAACCAGGAAGTCTACACCTCCCTACGTAGCTTAAAATAAATGTTGTGGATTTCAGTGACTGATGAGGTAGAGTTTTGGTTTGACCACCACTGGTTCTTTTCTAACCTGACCCTATGTCAGCTAACATTGTTCGTCGAGGAAGGCGATGGCTAGGCATGCGTAAAACATGTCCTAACCATCTCAGTAGATGTAATTTCACAGCCTCGTCGATTGATTTCCCCTGTTTCCCTAGCACTGGACCGACGCCTAACCTCAGCATTGCTTACCCTATTATACCACTTCACATGGGAGATAGAGTGCAGGCACTTATGATCAAAGATAGCTAATCTCTTCATTTCTTCCACTCTCAATGGCCAGGTCTCACAGCCATAAAGGAGGACGGAGCGGGCTGATGAGCAGTACACCCGCCCTTTGGTCGACAGCCAACCGGATATCACTTCTACGCCAGAGACGGCGTAAACTGGCATATGCGAAACGAGCCATCTGTATCCGTGTTGAGATTTCCTCTGCTGTCAACCTGTTGGTACTGGCAGATGCAACTTTTCAAATAAGTGAAGTGGTTAACACGCTCACTTCCTATTTCTAAACTGAGAGTTAATGAAGCCCAGTCCCGTAGCATCATCATACATTTGGCGGGAGCAAATCGCATGCCAATCATTCGTAGAATGCAGCTCAAGGTGTTCAGAAAACTCTGCACTTTGTCAGCGTCTTCACCTAGGAGACAAGACTATATAATCTGCATATTCTAAGTCAACGAGATTATTTCCTGGTAACAAGTCAATCCCATCAGCATATCTGCTGAGGTCTTTCGATCCGTCTTCAGTGCTTCCAGAAGAATTCCGTCCTGTCTTACTGCCTTCTTGTCCTTCAGTGGCTATATCGAACATCAAAATAAAAATGCAGACAATAAATAGTACACCTCTCCTGGTATCAAAACAAAATTTGCCATGGAAGGTTTCATGTGATGGCAAATTGTTCTTGAACACATAAAGGTATGGATTAAGGCTTCGACAAACTTTGACGTTACGCCACAAACACGTCTTTTGGGATCGGTTTTAAAGAGGTGTAAACGTCAATTTTATGCCCCATATCTATAATGCATTTTACAATAGAAGAACCACGTTGTGTGTTGTCACCAATAATGGGTTCAGGCGATTGAATTTGCTTCTGAAGCTATTTTTATTTATTCCTTCACGTTCCCAGTGGAACACAGGACTTCAAGCTAGAGGCTTGAAGTTTCGGTAGCAGTGGTGTTTATTTTTAAGGGATAGGGTTGTTAGCCAACCTCATGCCCAACCTTCCGTCTTTACCAGTCTTATTACTGGCTTAGCGAGGTATAAAGGAGTGCGTCGGTTGCCGAGGATCGAAGCCCGAACCACCTGTGGCGTGGTTGGCGAGCATTCTACCGCTGTGCCAACGACGCACACTTCAAAGTTATTTAGAGATATGTTTTGAAGCCTTTATTTTCAAGGGTCTTTCAGTCCCTTCTATGCATATGTGAACATAGTGTTCAATCTGTGTATCCAAGTGCCAAGCCATTATTTATTATGACAAAAAGGCTCCCATTGTGGTGCTGGTACTGATTATCACAGCCGCTGAATAACTTGAAGGTACGCTTAGTGTACACTCTTAGGTGTTGGTGATGAGTAGACAAAATGTTACACAAAACTTAAGTCATATATAATTATTCTTTCTGTTTGTTTAAAGAAGAAGCAAGGATGGTTGGTAACATGCCTCCTAATTTACAAGCACATAAGATATATATATATATATATATATATAGTCACATGGTTTTTGTACTTTAGTAGGTAGCTAGCTCTTTGTCCTTTAGTATAGTTTGTATTATCCAATCATAAGATTTTATGATCTGTCGTCTACTACCAAATATGTGCAATCTTTAGTACATGTAGACTGGAGTTTGGTGTGTGTCTTTGGGTGAAGGTATGAGCGTGAGCAATTGTTTAAATATGCATTCATCTATAATATATGTCATAATGCACATTAAACACAGATGGAAGTTATTACGTTGAGCAGTGATAACAATATCAATATTAATACTATTACTACTAATAATCATATTAATAATCATACTAACAGTATTCATTGAACTATTCACTCAGGATAATAATAATAATAATAACACATTGGGATTGTGATTTAATATGTTCAATGTTCCAATTGTTCAATTATCAACATTATTTATCACTCATTTACAAACAGTTCCATATCAAATTTTCATCATGTTAATCATCCGTATACCATTCACATTGATTATTCTCATAGTATTGATCATTGTATATGCGCACAGTGAACCGATCCTGTTGGGTGAAGTATCACGTAGTGAAAGAGATTTAAAACAGCTCAGATATGATGTATATCGTTCAGGTGAACCATATCAATGTATTCCGCTATCTGAGGATATACACAGATTGACTCAACGCTCAGAATTAATTATTGCTGGACGATTAAGATATCATGATAGGAATGAAAATTACGGTTCCATTAGTAGTGGTAGTAGTAGTAGTAGTAATAATTACTTCAATCTAACTGTTATGATCACAACAACTTATAAGACAAACTATCCAATTCAACAGAGTCAAATAATCATTGGACCGGTATTTCTACCGGATGACAAGCGTAGAAGTGGTGCTGGCTGTCTACCAGCATTCTTTGCCAATGCTAAGTATATATTCTTTCTAAGAAAAAGTATATACACACCGAATTATTATGAACCGTTGTGTGAAGCAATCGAGTACTCTGAATATGCTGAAAAAAAAATCTATACACATTATTGTCAAGATTGTGGTAAGTCTTGTAAATTCTTTGGTTTCAATAGTATGGTCCTTTCAATGATTTGATTACTGAACAAAGAATATTCTTTTCGATAACCTTTTCGCCTTCTTTTCTTCATCATCGGGTTATACAGTTATATGCGTCCTTAATAATGAAAGAATAAGGGTTATTGATAACAACTCTTGAAAAAATTAATCTGATGCTCCCTAGTGAGTTACTTGATACAGGACGAATTTCTTAGAGTTCTAGTGAGAAGTCGTCCCCATTGAGGTTCAACCAGTCAGGAATGAGGATCGAGTTGGTGGTTGCACTAAATCACGAATTGGTAGAAGTTAGAATTCATGGTTGGCCATTGAATCAGGTCCCAGTGGCTGAATGGTATACGAGCATTCCTTGTAACGGAAAGTCCTGGGTTCCAACCCTGACAGGGGGGTGGGTGCGTACTGCCAATGATTCCCAAGCCATTTAGACGAAACAGCCCAGTACTCCTGGCTGCTTATCAATGGTTCTCTCACTGATATCAATTCGTGGTCAAACTCGTAAAAACAAATCTAATCCTTAGAACAAGCCAACTCTTCATCATAAGGTGACATCAGTTAGAGAACCAGCACTGGAGTACTGGGCAGCTATTTCATCAGCCTAGTTTCGAACTCTTCATCAGTATTCACCCAGCAGGGTTCGAACCCAGGACCCCCTGGTTATCAGGGACAGTGAACTCGTAGATTCTAACTTCTGTCAATTAACGACATCCAGTACTCCCAGTGTCCCAATAGCTTACGAGCTCGCCTTGTAACCAGAAGGTTCTAGATTGGAACCATGGCAGTGGGATAGGTGAGTACTGGTAAAGAGTCCCGAGATAGGACGAAACAGCTGTAAAGTACTCCCAGGTTTTCCAGTGGTTGTCTAAGTGATATCAGCTCATAATGAAAGCCTCCATCTAATATTTCAGGAATCGGACTTCTGAAATCACCATAGAGCTATCCGGATTAGGCTTCATACTCTCCTACAAAAAATTATCTCTAATAAGATCATCCTTACTAAAAACATTCAAAATGCACAACAATTTCTTTTGTATAACTTGCGGTACATTTCTAGTTTTGGGAACTGTCTGTTGTTCTGGTTGTTGTACAATTCCACCTTGGAACTTTTCCCTTTATTATGTAATAATGTCGACCTCTTTGGATTAAAAGCTGTGTTTAACTTAGTTTACAGTAAGAGCATTGACGCTTGTGCCTCTATTCCCCAATCTTTTGGTAAATGTTTTATAGCTTGTTGGACAATAGTTTGTGGTAATCCAAACTTCTGTGTTAATATATGTGTGAAACTTGGGCACTGTGGTAGTAAATAATTCCATATTAGTTTCCTTACTAGATGTATCACACAGTGAAGAAACAGTGTTATTTACTGAGTGACACAGTTTCGAACAAAATTTATTGTTCATAATGATTTCATCAGTTATAGTCACATGACTTCGAAACTTCAGTTTTATGGTTTTCTTTGTTGTCTGCTATTCATCTTTGTAGGGGGAGTAGAATTTTCTAGATATCTGGATGGACTGGTGTCGAATCATTCCTATTACACAGCACATGTTTTCAGTTGATTCGATAAATAAAGCTTCTGTCATCAGTCTCTCACTCCGCCCTGATAAATTAGGTTTTAAAACTACTATCTTATCCCATCCCATCCGACTGTATGGTTGTGTGTAACTGCATGTAGTGAGTGCTATCTACGACTGAACTATTCTATAGATTTCTCATCTTATTTGGGTCAACCAATCTAGATCTTGCTAAGTGTTTAAGTGCGGCTAATCTGACTGCCCCTGTTCTACTAGTTTTCCCCATGTATCTGACCTGACAATCATTCCAGCAGGCTACTAGATAAAGTAAATTATTTTGTTTTAAAGGCTCCACAGGATCTACCATTTAACCGACAAAGCTTGTTTCTAATTGAGTTTGTGGTTGGTTTGAATGCCAGCCCCTTTTTTATTCCTGCTTCGTTAAGAATTCTGTGTAAAGTTTCCAAGGTTCTTTCCTCTATGGAATTACTGTTGATGATTTAGGTTCCTTATTGTTGGTGTTGTCATTATCTTGCGCATGTTTGGCATGCATGTCGTCATTAATATTACCATTATTATTATTGTCATCTTTATCACTATTATCACTATCACTACTATCATTATTTATTTTATTTTTACATTTCCTTGCATACCTTCTGACTAATTTTTCAAGGTAGTTATTAAGTTTCAAAGTTTCTCTTATATGCCTCACTTCCTGTCTTAGATTTCCCTTCGTACTACTTAGTTTTTGTCCTTTGGCACGTAACCATCTCACCAATCCTATTTTTACTGACATATGATGGGATGATCAGAAGTCCAAGTATCTGTTTGAATGTGTGGGTTTTCTGTAAACACACTAGTCTGTTTAACTTCCCATCTTCTTTCCTTTTTACGTTGCAATCTAACATTGGAAGTTCCCCTTCCTTACTTTCCAATTCCTATCCATGAATAAATATGCCACAACCGGGGATATTGGTGATCCCATGGCAACTCCCTCAGTTTGTTTCATATTTTCCCTTGGAATTTAAATACTGTGGAAGTCAGGCATAGCTTCACTCCCAGCATTATATCCTCAAGTGGCACTTTCGTCCCAAGTTCAAGTTCTTAGTCAGAAATCAGTTCGTTTCTGACTGCCTCGATAGCCATATTTATTGGTATACGTGTATATATAAACTGACAATGTCAAAATTAACCATTTTTTCTTCATTATCTAATTTTAAATTATCTGAAATTATCAGTGTTGTTCATTATAAGCTACACTATTACACCCCGCTTTCCCTGACTTTATTTCATTTTCTATTGATTCGCCTTCGCTGAAAGGTAGTGAAAATCTCTCTTGATGGTGAGATCACGGCGCCTGACACAAAAAATCAACATTTAATGAATAACATCTATTCTTCCAGACAATTCCCTGGTTTCATCTTAAATAAAGCCAACACTCTAGATGATTTTACTATCGAAACGATGAATTTATCTTACGATGGAAATATAACAAAAAAACAAAGGTGACTAGGTTCCGTCGAATTCATCGTAAACACTTTCCGTTTCTTCCAAATCAGACTGCTATCCAACAAACTGCCTAGACAATAAAATTCAATTCACATAATGTTGCTTCTACTCCAACTATGATTTACAGGATGAGACATAAATACTCTTTCATAGGGCATGGCACTGATAATTTTGTACTGTGTGCTGTATGAAACCAGCAGTACTGGATACTTCAATAAATTACCTCGTACTGTTGTGACACATTTTGAAGTCTAGTATTCAATGGCCGGTCGGTCAGTATTATAAATTTTCCAATTTTTTTTAGACTAGTGGAAATTCCCAAGTCATTTTCATCACTGGATACACGCGTCACAGGAATATTATGACAGTGTTCACAGGTATAATGTACAGAATCTGCAGTGTAGGTTAATTCCATGATATTTTCTTTCCGTGCCAGATCTTTAGATGATAGATTAATTCACAGCAATTCCTATAACACAGTGCTATCTGACCTGAAGAGAAAATCACTTCATGAATGATATATCTGCTTTGTCTCCTTCAAGAAACTCACGACGCTTAGTTGAAAGCCAGTTGTAAAAAGTTCAGAGGGGCATTTTTGATACCTAGGGATAGAACTCAGGCACAGGAATACTTTAACTCCTACTATTTTGCCCTTTTGCAAGTTTGGCTGAAACACTAAATACTCACGAAAGTAAATAATACCATTTGAAGTCATATTTTAATCGATTAAAAGAAAGTGAACGGGAGGAATCCTATGCGTGTCGTATATAACCTTAAGTTCGTTTTCATTTACATCTCCTGAACAAGTATAGCTTTGAGCATATAGCTCAGTTTCTTTACAAGGTATCTTGTATGCCGAAGAGGAAATTAAAGCTGTAAAAAATGTGTGTGTATTGACCGTTTGAAGTACTTTTCTCTTATGAAAACTTCTTTTTATGCTATCCTCTTGTCTAAAAGGGCAATCCTACTTTAGGATTCTTCATCACAGGTGAATCTGACAATTGAATGTACTTGATTGAATTGAGATATTATTGAGGCATTGTCTTAAATGTCTAATTAAACAGTGTCATCTTCTGTATAAATGCAAGCAAATAACCACACTTTGTGGAGGTGGAACCGCCAACGCAAGTTTACACATACAATTAATTAATAAATGTGATATGAATGAGCTTATTAGAATTTGAGAAATAAAATTGATACCTTAAAATCTATAAAGGTTATTAGTCACCTGAGTTGTCATCACATGCATTTTTCAGATGACATATTTCTAGAGAGATCAATAAAATTAGACAGTTATAAAAGTTATTTGAAAGCTATTGAACTAAACGTCACTTTCCATATATATGTTTTTTTCTCAACTCTGACTTTTGGGAGATTCAGATTCATATCTGCAAAGCAATATGGGGGTTACTTTATACTCTAGTGGGTAAACCTTAGTGATTAGTGACAATCGACACCGAGCCTTTCATAGTATTTAGGAAGAAGGCAGCTAATAAACTACAGGTTGTCTTAATTGCAACGAATTTTATCACTTTAAGTTATATTGGGCCAAATTCTTTGATTAGTATTGACACATTCACTCAGTAGTAACGATACCTGATATCTGTTGTACGAGAAGCGGGTCAAGTGGCCGAACAGGTAACACTTTGGCGTTGAAACGATGGGTTCTGCTGTCGAATCTCATTTGGTAGCACTGTCACCACCGGGGATTCTATGTACATCCAGATGACGAGTCCCGAATCGAACGAAATATGGCTTCTTATCAACTTCTCTTCTAATCATATCAGTAGTACTTAAAACTAGGCATTATCCATTTCGCATACGTTTATATATTTATTACCCATCCCTTGTGTTGTGAGTGTAACATAGATGCTTAGCGGCATTTCTTCATTTCACTTGGTTCTCTGATACTGCTGGCAAGTTATTTCACTTATTTTGCACAAGATCA